GTGTGTGTGTGTGTTTGTATGTGTGTGTGTGTGTATTGCGAGCATGTTTGTGTTTGGATGTGTTAAGGTGTGCGTGTAAGCATGCATGGGTGTGTTGTCTTCTTTTAAAATACACATACATCTTGCTTTTCTTGCACACACTTTTTCGTGTAGATATATAATAATATCTTACGTCAACTAATGTGCATTAAAATTATATTCTCCTGTCTTTAAAAAAATAAATATTTGAATTTTGAAGCAAAAAGGATTTTCATTATTTGTGTTTTTTGTGTTGTTGTTGCTGCTGTTGTTGTTGCTTTTGTTGTTGTTATTGTTGTTGTTGTTGTTGTTGTTGTTGTTGTTGTTGTTGTTATTATTATTATTATTATTATGGTACCATATCAAAAACAACAACAACAATAACAACGACGACGACAACATCATCATCAACAACAACAACAGAAACAGCAACAACAACAACAAAAACAACAACAACAACAACAACAATGTTTCTCTTGTTGAATTATGAGAATGTTTTGGGTTTTTTAATGAAAGAGGGTGATGAGAGAAGATACAAAAATTGGTCTTCACAATCTGTATACCATTTAAAGTGTATGATTAGTGGCGTCATTGGCCTAGTGGTTAGGCAACCGGACTCGCAATCATGAGGTTGTGGGGTTGGGGGTTCGAGCCGCGGGCCCGACATTGTGTCCTTGGGAACGGCACTTTACACGAATTATCCTCACTTCACCCAGGTGGGAATGGGTACCCGGCCATAGACAGCGAAAGATTTTTGTCAGTATGTTAGTGTTTTAGCGCCCATAAATGGCTGCTTGCACTGTATGCTTCCCAGGAAGTTGAGTTTGTTTCAGAATGCTCTCAGGTTTGCTGGGGTGATAGTATAGATTTTGAAGCGCATAGAGCTTGTCGTTGAGCTGGGATTTGCGCTATACAAATGCTATCGATTATTATTTATTATCTTTTATTAACCCTTATTTTATAGAAGACCCGCACATTGACCCCGCAGTAGTTTTAGAATAAGAAAAAAATTAATAATGAGTTGACCTATTTTTTCCCAGTCATTAATTTATTGCACTGCGCCATCGACTACAAAAAGAATGGATTGTAT